CAGCTAGAATGATACAGTAATATTCTTAACACACCCGTCCCTAGATAAACACGCGTCGCAAAGTGGCCAGTGGATGGCTGCTGAGGCTGACGAGCGGTGAGGTTACTCATGGCAATGCTGCCAGATGGTTGTTACTGTCGGAGGTGTAAGGAAGAAATGTTCTCAAGTCGATGAGGACTATTCACTAGATTATATTTGTTATACATGTTCGTAGCTAACTTCTTTTTGGCCGAAAAAAATGGTGACAGCGTTTGTGATAAATTATTCATATTCTCCGTAAGGTATTTTATCTGATCCTACATTATTGTAGCGATAAATGATTACGGAATATACAGCTAAATGTGGTCGTAGGCGAGAAAAGAATTAGAAACAAAATTTCAATTTTGAAAACTACTATCCAACGGCGCATACTCTTTATACCGCCAAGGGCCGTGCTGGCATCGTCGATAGCTTCTTACTAGAGAGTCGGTATCTGTATAAATGACACACATTTACAAAACTAAAATCTTTATTTAGCATCACTAAATGAATATCCCTTCTTCACTTGTCTGGTGTATCCACTGAAGGCTAATAGGCATCACATTAGGAAAAATTAGCTACACGGCATACTTAGCGCTTCGCGCATAGGTACGGTATACCACAGAGTGACCACAGGATATTGACAGAGTTTGCATAAACCTCATTCATCAGAGAGTACGTCACATACAGGGTGTCCCACGTAGAACTGCAGCTTAAAAATTTGACAGAGATTCATGAAGATGTGTGTATGCTATATCACTGAACTGAGCAATTCAGCCGAAATATTTATGTAATTTCAAAATAGTGACACTTCGGTTGTACCGGAAGTAGATACCAACTTGGATAATAAATAGCATAGGGTGGTAAAATGATGATAAAAGTGAGATTTTAGAAAGCCTCAAGAGAAATTTTTCTTAATACGGATTAATCATTGAAAATAAGGTTAACTTTGTATAAAGTTGTCGATTACGCATGGATTTTACCAAAAGATAATCTCATTTGGCCATGACGCGGCGACAGAGTGTCCTTAGTAGTTTGCCAGATTTACGCCATGTCCAGCTGAGAACATCTTATAGTAAAAGGCGCATGGAGCATTTGAGTTATAAATGAACCAGTATTTTCATATATCTCGAATACTAATTTGCAAAGTAAGCAACCTGACACAAAATTAATCTTATTTTAATTGCTTAATACGATAATATAAATATTGTGGTTTTAATTCGAAAAAAGTGACCATTTCTGTTTTGGAAATCTAATTTTCATTCTCTTGACTAGCATGAACTATGTATTACCAAATGCGAAATAAAATGAACTGGCGTAAAAAAAGCCCGTTACAAACCAGCTGGCAAAGCTAAAATTATGAGAAAATTCATTCTTTGACTTGCCTTTATATTCTTCCGTATAATCCTAAAATTAGAATGCTTTGTGCTTAAAACAAGCTAGTGTGCACTTCCGGTGTAATTGGAAGTCCCACCATCTTGCAACAGAAGATATTTTGGCCAAATTACCCTCATCAATTGAACTATTAACTCAAATCTTCATAACTGTCTTACGTAATTTTTTTGAGAAATCGATCGCTGCGGTTTTACATTGAACATACTGTATACTTTCACGTATATTTTTCGAACATTACCATCTAAGCTACAACTACGGCTGTGCTTCATGAGGAATTTGGAGTCAGCACTTTTTGGAAGCGTATTAGTTGAACTTGACAATTCATAACACTTTTCAAAAGCTGAGTTGACAGAATGGAATATGTATGTATTATATATGCAACTGACTGCTTTGAGTGACTGTTGCAGTAATAAAATGGGAATAATTGAAAAGTACGAAAGTTGCATACAGATACTCGACTAATTTTCGAAAAATATGTCAAGTGCTTAGCGTTGATGCTAAAGATTTTCTCATCATTCATTTTATCTATACCTAGAAACTGTATTTTATACAAAATAATCCCAGCTCAAAGCGCAAGAAGATACAAAAGGTCAGCGGAGGTAAATTGAGGTGGTTTCTCAAACCACGGTTACTTTTGGTCAAATTTTGGTGTTTTAAGCTACACATATTACAAATCTCTACTTCATATAATTTTCCAAGAAGATTATTGGCACATTATGTTCTATGCACTCATTTCAAAAGTGTGGTGGTGCATATTAAGTGTTTAAATTAGTACAATAATTAATTAGCTCACAATTAAAACATTGACTACGAAGAGAATACGTTGTTAAACGATCCGGATTGATTTTGTGTTATTTGTGGGAAATGTATCTTTACAAAGTTTTGTAACTCGACTACGGGCCTCTTTAAATCTGCGCCTTTATTACTTTGGAGTGAATATTACAAATCTACAAAAGCCTTGATTGCAAAATACTGGATGCTAAGGTTAACTTGTCTCTTTGCGACAATGGTTCAGAAGAAAAAAATATGCTCTTTAATGTGGGTGAATTGAAGACACCTATAATTTAGCGGGAGCAGTAACAATCATGATAGCTGTTATCTTATATGTTTAAGGTTACCCGTAAAAACTATGCACTACATACTCATAATTCACAGTATCATCGACATTATCAACTTCAACCTGAACATAAAAGCTGAAAAGGAAAAGCCCGAACCAGATTATGGATTTCTGCACTAGGCAATGAAAAATAGAAAAAACTCTTTATAAAAAACTTCAAAAGGAACCCTGGAAGTATTTTTTCCGGTACTGAAACATTTTTCTTGAGAATCATAAAAACAATGAGCATCAAACTACAGTATTTACATCGTCATTTGCATCGATGCTCTGAAACTACAGTGAGCAACTGTTTTAAATAAAATGTGTAAGTAAAGTATCTTGCCAAACATCTAAACTTTGTACATCACTGCAACAAGAAACGCAAGGCTCGGCTTGCCACCTTCCGATACTGCAATCATGGGGAATATACATTTTGGAATAGATCTTGATCAAGCGATACAACCGTAGTTCAGAAATTAAAAGTAAATAAATGCACTAGAAGCTGTCAGTTTACAACTTTATAAAGAAATTTCTTAAACTCACCATCAGCAACCACGCCTTCACCTGCAGCTCCCACTGGAATTGCATCGCCTTCACTTTCACCAGGTTTCTCAACCCCACCAGTAACCTCTTTGCTTTCAGGTGTAGCCAATGCTTGATTCTCTCCTTCTTCCCTTTCTTTTTCAGCTTCTTTGCCCTCTTTTTCTTCCCTTTTTTCTCCTTCTATTTCTTCTTCCTCTACCCAAATCTCGGCTCCTTCACCTGCTTCTCTGCTTTCCTTCTCGTACATCAACGCAGACGTTTGCTCATGTATCTGTTCTTGATAAGCTTCAGCATCCTGAGTTTCTAATTTTGCCGTTTCGGTATCCATGTCAGACGTTTCGGCACCCTCGGCTGTGGCTGCCTCGTCTCTCATTTCTATCTGAGAGGCGGTCACACCTGAGGACAAAATACGTTTTGAAGTCATTCCACATTACATAGTACAGTGTCAGTGAGCAAAGTCATTGCTTATTTTCAAGCTTACTCTTAAATACAAGGTGTCCAACATATAACTGTCTGATTCAAATTGCGCGCCATTTTTGATACACGCATTTCACTGGGTGGCATAGTAGTAGTTGTTTAAAGCACATGTGTCCAATTCATCAAGGAGCACTACACGATCCCACAACGCGTCCGTATTGTTCAAACGTTTTACTTAAATAATGAGTCGATTGTTGCAACGATTCGGAAGCTGCGACAAGATTTCGGTTGAAATAATGTGCCCAGTGTCAACACCATTCGTCAGTTGGTGCGGAAATTTGAACAAACAGGTGAGGTTAAAGACTTGTCAAGGTCGCACCGTGTGCGAACTATTCGTACTCCGGAAAAAATCGAGAGAGTTTGTGAAAGTATAGTAGAGCCCCCTGAGACGTCTACCAGACATCGTTCTCATGGACTGGGTATTCGTCGCTCGTCATTATGGACTATTTTAAAAAAATACTGGCATTTGCGGAAATACAAAATGTCGTTAATCCAAGAAGTACAGCCTAGTGACCATGAAAGACGCCGACAATACGGTCATGCAATATTGCAGCTTAATCTACAAGATAACGATTCTTGCCAACAACTGATAATGAGCGATGAAGCCCACTTCGATATGGACGGATTTATTAATAAGCAGAATTATGGTATCTGATCACAGTTTGGTGCGGTGTTTGGTACGGAGGTATCACTAGACCTTATTTCTTTGAAGACGCTGTAGGTAATTCTCTATACCAGGGCTGTCCAACATACGGCCCGTGGGCCGCATGCGACCCGCGAACTCCTTTCTTGCGGCCCGCTTCACGGGTCATGTATACATCACATGTATAAATTACTCTCAAATACCGAATCTGCACAATTCTTACATTAACGATAAAATACAATAACATGTGAAGCCACTGGCGACCGATAGCAGGCCGCAGCGAATTTACTGGAAATTGGACCAATCTCTCGATCATCCCCGAATATTCGAGAAGCCACGGGCGCGTATATAAGAAGGTTGAATCAAGCGGGACAGGCAGGTATGTTCTAGTGCTAGTGCGTTTAAGTACACAGCAACTCTAAAGCCTTTTTAAGTGAAATACTCCGTGAAATATGTCTTCGCAGAAACGAAAAAAACGAAAGAACATCGAGTTTATAATGACCGTTGGGAATCAGAATATTTAATCTCAAACAATAATAATAAACTTCAGTGCATTGTTTGTATGCAAGTACTATCGGCTCCTAAAGAATATAATATGAAACGACATTACACTACGTTACACGAGAAAACGTTTCGGCAATATTCAGGGGACTCGAGGCTATCATAACGGAATACAAGAAAAAACTAAAACAACAAACAAGTTTTTTCAAAAAATCTGACTCTGATAACAAGTGCAGTATTGCCCCCTCTTACAAAATAGCGCTGGAAATTGCCAAAGCAAAAAAACCTTTTAGTGACGAAGTGCTTATCAAAAAGTGTGCAATAGAAATGGCGAAACAATTCAATGAATTAAAAGTTGCCGAAAAATTTGAAACAGTCTCAGTATCGCATCAAACAATTGTAAGACGGGTGAACCATATCAATGAACATGTATCCAAAAAATTGCGTGACGTGGTTGAAAAATGTAAATATTTTTCGCTATGCCTGGATGAAAGCACTGATCTGTCTGACATTAGCCAGCTTGTCATTTTTATTCGAACTATTCAAGACGACTTCAGTGTAGCAGAGGAGATGCTTGACCTTATTCCTCTCCATGGTACAACCAAGGGTACAGATATTTTTGAAGCTGTGAATAATTTGGTGTCAGACTACGGGGGATTTGATAAATGTTCCTGTATTGTCACTGATGGCGCCAGAGCTTGACAGGGACTGAAATTGGATTTGCAGGACTATTGAAACAAAACTGCATCAACTGTCCTATGATACAGTGTATTGTTCACCAAGAGAGCTTATGTGGAAAGTCTTTACGTCAAATCAATGTCATGAAAGTGGCTGTTAAAATAACTAATATTGTTAGAGGGGCAATCGTGCTTTGACTCACAGAAAGTTTCGTGATTTTTTGGCCGAAGTGGATGCTACATATGGGGACTTGTTACTTCACACCGATGTTTGTTGATTAAGCACCGGAAAGTGTTTGCAACGATTTTTCGCTCTACGCAAGGAAATTCCCATTTTCCTCAAAAATGAAGTGAAGTCCGACACTACGGAACTGGAAAATCAAATGGCAGATGCACAATTTTTAGCAGACCTTGCATTTTTAACAGACATGACATCTCACGTTAACGAATTGTATTTGAAGCTACAAGGAAAACAGCAGAATATTGCCAACTTATTTGGACACATAAGTGGGTTTAAGAATAAAATTAAGCTTTTCAAGTCTTCATTACAAAAAAATGATTTTTCATTTTTTCCAAGTTGTAAAGAACATTCCGAAGAAACGAAGGATTTTGAGGAAGTTTCATATTTACCTCATCTAAAATACATTGACACAATTGCAGAAGAATTCAAAAATCGATTTAGTGACTTTAAAAAAATCGAAAGCGACATTTCAGTTTTTACTCAGCCACTAACAATTTCTGTTGAGAACGTAAGCAGAGCAGACCTCCAACTGGAATTGTGTGATTTGCAATCAGATCCTTTTTACCAAGGAAGAACTGAAACTGGCTTGGACTTTTTTAAGTTACTGCCAGGAGAACGATACCAACTTGCGAAACTTAGGAGTTACAATGGGATCAATGATGGGAAGCACGTATCTTTGCGAAAGCAGCTTTTCCAACATGAAATTTATCAAGTCGAAGTATAGATGTTCCCTCTCTGATAAGTCACTTACTCAGTTACTTCGTTTATCAACAACAAATATTAATGTTGATATTGATGCATTAGTATTAGAAAACCAACATCCTCAAATGCCCCACTGATTTTTTTGTAAATTCATATTTTTTGAATAAATAAAAATAATAGGAAAACTATTTTTGTATACCATATAGTATGTACGTATATACCTATTAAAACTCAGTAATAATGTGGTATAGAAAGAGTTTATAATACGGCCCTCCAAACTGCATTTTTTTTGAAGTGGCCCTTGGGCCACATTAAGTTGGACAGCCCTGCTCTATACTGTCACTGACGAGCGTTACCGTGATATGGTGCAAAACTCTGTGGATCCTCAAATCCAACAATTTAACCTGCAAAACATCTGGTTTCAGCAGGACGGTGCAACTTGTCACACAGCTTGGGAAACAATGAATCTTTGGCGAACAATATTTCCGGGACGTTTAATTTCTCGATTTGGTGATGTCAACTGGCCACCAAGGTCACCGGATTTAACGGCTCCTGACTTTGTTTGTGGGGATTTTTAAAAAATAGGGTCTAAGCCAACAAACTAAATACTGTAGAGCCGCTGAAGAACAATATTACAGTAGCGATTGAAAATATCCCTCCCGAAACCTGCCAGAAAGTAAAGGAAAATGTAATCAGGAGGGCTCAGGTTTGCGCTCTAGAGGCTAGCAATTGTCTGATATTATTTTTCATACATAAAGTTTCGATAAAAGATTAAGATTAAAACAATGGACGTATTTATTTCATTTCACAAATATTCAAGTCAGTTATAAATCGGCTACCCTGTATTACTCTTAAATATTCGGTGAATGTGGATTGAACAGCTAAAGCTAAAACACATTTCATACGAGCGTCAAGTGCTGAGCATCAAGATCACGCGATTGTCTATGGAGCTCGAGGTGATTGAAAGTGCATTATGACAAAAGTCTAATCGTCTCCATTATACATTTGATGGTGTGAACGGACAGTGACAGGTGTCAAGAGAAGTAGTAGAAATCTAAGAATCTCATCAAGAAAGCTTGAGAGAGTTGAGACGCAATGACAAGATAAACACATATCTACGACGAAATACTTCTACGGACTATGGGGCTATCTACTCCGTCTAGCTCGTGCTCAGGAAATCAGTTTAGTAAGGAGCGCCAAGTGCTCAAAAATCAAAACATCCCACCCGCTCTTCAAATGTTTCCAACAGCAAAACAGGTCCCTTCAGATGTAGGTCCGAACTTCCTGTATGTCCAGAGGCCTTGCATAGCTTAAAGCGACCCCATGAGCTATGGACGGTGGCCCAAGTGTAAGAGCCCTCCCTTACCAAGAAGGGATGGTGACGTAGCCAAACTAAGCTATTAAAATAAATGGCGGTTCCCTGGCGAGACGACTAGTGCTGATAACCACCAAAACTTTTTTTTTTGCGTTAGGACTAAGAGTCCATGCAGCCAGTCACTAGGTTTCTTTATAAATATGTATTAACACATGACGCCACAACATCCATGCCTTCGGAATGTAATTTCCGAAGGCGAGATTCGAACTCGCGGCCCGGCCGGCCGGCTGATCAGTAGCTCGACACTCTGACCCACCCGGCCAACCGAGGTCCCCAGGCGTCCCGGTTATAGACCTGCTGAGATTGAATACACGAATCTATTTCCAAGTATGCTTTGTATTCCCAATTTGTATTTTTGAATTATTTTGGATTTTGGGAAAAAACATCCCGTATTTCCAAATTAATACTCACGTATTAGGAGCTTTAGGAGCAACCCACAGTGGTATAGACAAGCATCTATTTGAACACGTTAGTGATCAAAGTTCCCGCTTTAAATTCACAATCCGATTATGTATGGACCACAGTGCCTCCCTTGACGCTCTCATAATTGTCTTTTATGGGTTTCTGAAGCTTCTCATGTGTTCTCTTTTTCAGTTACCACGCTTTTCATCCCCAATAATTAAAACCACTGTTATACAGTGTGTCCTGAAGGTGTTGACTTTCTTTTTCAGTCGGCTACGTTTGCAATACCAAAGTTCATTTACAGAAAAACATGAAAAACGTAAAAATGAAATTGAAAAATATACTCACTATGATTTGGTAAGGTATTTCAACTGCTGCCTTGTCACATGTTTTGCACGTACACATTGCTTGAGTTTGTCGCTGTTCGATTCGAAAATGCGAGTTTGCTTACCTCTTCCTAAATTTGCAACATTTGGGTCTGTCTAGCTCTTCGTGTTCAACCAGACGGCTTATACACCATATAAACAAATATGTGCAGCTCTGATGGAAAGAAACATCGACGATGTTGACGTACTGAGTACGCTCTCGGAGTATCAATAGGATCTTGAAGACACTCATATCAAATTGACAACTGCGTATTGCTCTGGGAATGTGCCAATTTCGGTTTTCCAAATGCGGTTTGTGTTTAACCTGAACACGCGACGCCTGATTTGGAAACTCATTCACTTATGTTTTGACGTAGGAGGGTATTATGTTATGGGAGGGTGGCAGAGTCGCACTTTCTCAGTATTTGCTTTTTGGAACATATCGCGGTTATCTTAAAGCTTTGGTATACATGTTACTGAAAAGACATGCATATTATTGCCTGGCCTATACGATCTGTTAATGAAAGTATCAGCTTTGAGGTCACCCTGTATAATGATTTAGTTTTAATTTCATATTTATTTCATTGACATTCGCTTGCGACCTGCATACCTTGCTCAGAGAGTTGAGGATAATCAGAGGACTTATCAGCTACGTCTATTTGAGAGCTAGTGATTCCCTGGTCTATCCCCTCTGGTGGTTGAGCTGCTTTCTCCACCATGGCGATTTCATCGCTGATAGCTTGCTGATCGGTCGTTGACACAGCTTCGCCTTCTTTGTCCACCATACTGATCGGAAAGCTTATAGTTTCTTCATCCTTTTTGTCTGAAATAGAACATGGTTGTGTATTATTCAAACTTCTATTGATATTCATTTAATTTCTGGGATTTGATAGATACCAGGAGGGGAAAGTCCTGAGCAGTACAATATAATGAATAATGCAAAATTCGCATTAGGCAAGGCACTGCTGGGACAGCCGACACTTCATGTCTGAAATAATTGTGTTACGATCGTTTTGCTGATATTTGCTCAAACAACTGTAACGACAAAAATAAAATGGAATATACTTTTGTGATGGAGGAAGTGACTGAAAATAAAGATCGCACTTGGCTGCTTGTGGTCGCCGCTATTTGTTGTTAATCGATTGCGATGTGTGATAGCTGTGATAGGTGAATGCTTTTTGTGAGCCTGAAAGGATTCGATAAGCCCAGCAATGCTGATACCATTTCTGGAACAGCGTATGAAAGTACGCAACACTCACATATACCAAAAATCACCTATACAAAAGTTACATAATGAAAGAGATACTAAAAGATTATAAATTTCCAAAAAATAAGAATCTTATATAGATTATGTGTCAATCGAACAAATGGGGACAATTATTGATAACTAGTACGTACCAATCCATGGTTCTTCGGCTTTGTCCGCCGTACTGATATGAGGGCTCATCATGCCCTTTTCATTACTGATTGGATATCCAGTAGATTGGTCTATCATGTCAATTGCGGTAAGCATTACTTCTTGGTCAGCAACTGTCAGTCCAGTTCTGGCATCAATTACCGCTGGTACTCCTGCTACTCCGACTGGACCTCCTGCTATTCCTACTGCGTCTGGTACTCCTGCTAGACCTCCTGGTAGTCCTATTTCTCCTGGCACTCCTGCTGGATCTTCCGATGCTCCTGCTGAACCTTCCGATACTCCTGCTGAACCTCTTTCTATTCCTACCGCTCTTGGCACTCCTGCTAGACCTTCTGGTACTACTGCTACTCTTGGTACTTCTACTGCTCCTGGCATTTCTGTTAGACCTCTTGCTACTCCTACTGTTTCTGGCACTCCTAGCGGACCCTCTGCTACTTCTACCGGCTCTGGTTCCTCTAAATCTGCTGGGTATATTGTTTCACCTGGCAATCCTGTTACTCCAACTCCTGGGCCTATGATCGGC